TCCTTCTTGCCGTTGAGGAAGATTGTCCACGTGTATCTTGAGTAATCATCAACTACCACCAGGACATATTTCTTTCCACTTAGACTTATTGGTGTAACGGGGCCAAATAAGTCCATGTGAATAAGACTTAATATCCTTGTAGTTGAGGGTGCCGATTTTGCTTTGAAGGTGGACTTGACCTGCTTTCCTTTTTGGCAAGCATCACAAATACTTTCCTTTCTGAATGTAGCTTTGGGAAGACCTTCTACTAACCCTTCTTTGGACAGCTTGTTGAGAGTTTTGAAGTTGAGATGACTCAACCTCTTATGCCAAAGCCATAGAAGGTTAGTGTCACCTTTGCTAATTAGACATGCTTCCTTGACATTATCCCACATTACTTCATAGATGTTTCTGATTCTCTTCCCAGTGAGAATGACTTTGTTTGTGGAGATGTTCTTGAGAGATGCCATGTCCTTGCAGAATTCCAAGGAATAACCTTTATCACAAAACTGACTTATGCTAAGAAGGTTATAATTGAGACCTTCTACATAAGAAACAGCTTGGATGGTTAGTCCTTTGTACACCAGATTTCCTAGTCCTTTAGTAAGGCTGAAATCATTGCTTCCTCCAAAAGTAACTCTTGGACCATCATAGGGAATTAGATTGCTCAAAAGGCTCGCATCACCCGTCATGTGTCTTGAGCAGCCACTGTCTAAGTACCAGACACCTGGGTACTTAGCGGCTTCCTGCATTAGGAGGAGGAAGATTTTGGTACCCAATTAAGTTTGGGTCCAGAGTAGTTAATGGTGTGTGTCCCTACATCAAGTTTGAAGTTGCAGGGAATTTTCCTTGCAGCTCTAAACTTGTTGGGATTGTAATCATAGTTGTAGGCATAAAACTTCCTACGTGCAGGAGGTGCAATTTCCTGTTTCCTCCTAGCAAACCTAGGTTGATAAGATCTATGATTTTGTCTAGGTTGTGCATAGTGTGGTCTGTGTCGGTTATAAGCATACTTAGGTGGCACAAATAATTTCTAGGGTGGAGGATGACTATATCTTGGCATAGTTCTCCACTCAGAATTTCTTGGAAAACTCCTATCTACCCCATAATGAGTATAGCCTCATGTATAATGGGGGTTAGAAGGTTTTCTTCTGAAATTATTTCCTCTTTGAGGTCTGTCCAGCTTCCTATAGTTCTTAGGAGGGACTACCTTTTTGGGAACTTCTGTTGGTTTCTCCTTTTCCTTTCCTTTCTGCTTATTTGGTTTAGCAGTAGGTTTAGGAGGGATGAAAGTTGTTCTCCCTTTTCTTTTAGAACTGGAGGGGTCAAACCAAGTCCTTTGCGACCCTTATGATTGGTCGTTTCAAGAAGCTTATCCACTGCTTCTTTGGACTTAAGTATCCCTAGTTCTTTGTTAAGGGATTTTACCTTTTCAGAGAGAGATTCATTTTCAGTTTTGAGTTGAGTGATCTCATTCAATTGACTTTTCCGACCTTCAGTTAACTTGAGATTCTCTTCACTCAATAGTTTGTTCTCCTCTGTTAAGGATGAATGTTTGAGATTTATTTCTTCAAAATCTACCATCATCTTTTTGAACTGGTCAAAAAGATTTTCAGAAGTTGGTATGCTTTCATAAGAAGATGAGCAGGAGGTTTGTGAAGTTACCTCTTGATCAGCATCATCTTTGGCCATTAGGCAAAGAGTGTCATCTTCTGACATAGTCCACCTATCCTCATGGTTGGACTTTTCAACTCTGCGCTCCATGCAGACGAGGGATTCTTCATCTGAGCTTGAGCTGGATGACTCATCACTTTCAGCAGCAACCATTGCCTTCTTTTGCTTCTCGTTCCTTTCTCTCTCTCCGTACTTTTCCACCTTTGGGTACGGGCATGCTGACTTCCAGTGGCCAGGTTTCCTGCAGTTATAACACAAATAAGATTCAGGAGGGGAGTCACTTACTTGTGGCTTTCCCTTGGTTGGCCTTCTGACTGAGTCAGCCTTCTTGAAGAACTTCTTGAACTTCCGGAATTGCTTGACCATCATGGCAAATTTCTCATCGTAGTTCTCCATTTTTGAGCTTGACGGCTGGCTGGAGGAAGGTGTGTCACAGCTTCTTGGGCATGTCCCTTCACTTGATGGGACTCTTGGAGTTGTCATCAGTGCCGTGGGGAAGGGAGTGACTTGTTCTTCCTTCTTCTTCTTCAGCTCGTGCTCATAGGTTCTGAGCTCATCTAGGAGACCTTGGACAGTGTAGTTTTCCAGATTTCTTCCTTCTTCCATGGCTGTGGCTTTGGTGTACCACTCAGTTGGAAGAGATCTCAGCAACCTTACATTCTTTTCTTTGGGAGAAAGAACGTGGTTAAGTGAGGCAAGATCATTTAAGATTTTGTGGAATCTTTCATCCAACATATCGAATGATTCTCCAGGAAGCATTTTGAAGCCTTTGAACTTCTCAAGCAAGACTTCTATCTTCTGCTTTCTCAAGTCCTCTGATCCCTCACATAGCTTCCCAAGACCTTGCCATATCTCCATGGCAGTCTTGAGATGCTTGATTTTGGAGAAGGTGATGGGATCAAGTGTCTTGAAGATGGCTGCTTTGGCGACGTTGTCCAGATTGTGCTTTTTGCAATCTCTATCATCCCATTTTTCTTTGGGCTTTGGAATATACTGGACTACATCTGGAGTTGCTAGATTCCTCTCAGGATTCTCCATTTGGATTTTCAAGGGTCCATCCTCAAGCACCATCCACATGCAATCATGTAGAGCGTAGAGGTGTGCTTCCATCATGATCTTTCAATCATCATAACCTAGAAGAGAAAACTTGGGCAAACCGTGATCCATATTGTTCACCATTTTGATCGCTTCTCGTTAATCTAAACGTAGATAGTGAGAAGTTTGCTCTGATACCAATTGGTGGTCCCAAAGTGGTGAGATACAAAGTCTAGAGGGGGGGTGAATAGACTTTGTTACAAATTTAAAATCTTTTTCGTTTCTTTTGAAAACGTGAAAATAAGTGTTATTCTAGAGTTCTTGTGAACTTTAGATTGTGTGCGGAATTTAGTGGGTAGAGTGAGCAGTAATCAATATGGATGGGTTAGTTTTCACAGTTAATATAATTGCAAATAAGAGTAAAGATAAAAGAGAGAGACACGCAAACTTTAACGAGGTTCGAAGGTGGGGTAATCCTTCTACGTCCTCAAAATCCACTATGTAGTTGGTTGTTGAATAATGAACCAACAATTACACTTGTGTGAATTTCTGCACGGTATATCTTCGCAAGACCAATGTTGCTACTGCACTCGTGCTGGCTTTGTTGTTCCTTCGAAGGTCACGCTTCTTCAACAACTGCAAGATCCGAACAATAGGACTTGCAAGATCAACTTGTAAGAAAGTTGACCTACCCCCTTTTTAATCAAGAAGTTTGATCAAAAAATTGTATCCTTCAACGTGGTGTGGTACTTGAGGCAAGGAAACCTTCAAATGTTTACACTATAGCTCTTTGGAAGGAGGAGGAGTTTGCTTCTGGATAAGGAGTTTAGAAATCTCTCTTTATCAAGCTTTTTGGGCTAACTGTGAATGAGATAGCTTTGTTTTAGATTGCTTCGTTGTGTTGTTGTATCAACGTATCTCATCATATCATCTCCAGTCTTCCAAGGATGCTATTTATAGCTGGATTGGATAATCTATCCGTTGAATCATAATAGACTATCCGTTGCATTTGCTGGCTTCAATTTTTGAATGAAGATTGTGATTTGAAGATTCTTTGTTGAAGGTGGTGTTTGGACGTACCCAATTGTTGAGAAAGGATTCCTTTTTTTCACAGAATCCGTCTTCTAGCTGTTGTTCAAGAATTCAAGACTGTAGCACTTTACTCTGTTTGTCTTCTAGTGCTTGTTTAGGAATTCTGGGCAGGCTCTTTAATTTTAGAGGTCCAGACTTTGTCTTCGAGTAATTTGTTCTTGAATCAGCATAATTATCTTCAATCTAGCCGTTGAAAATCAAGAGATTGATTTTTTCCTTACCAACGGGTAGAATTTCTTCATTCAGGACTTAGATAATTTTTCTAAGTATTTTCTCACTTGTCCGCTTTCTGAGAATTCCGGTCTTCAATGAGTCTTCCGATTCTTAGCTGACAAATCCGGAGGAGTCATTCTTCAGACTTCCGGGTGAGAAGGAGATCCGCGCTAGTCTTCCGATTTGGATGACTTAGCCTTCAGTGGGTTGTAGTGAGACATCCGGTTCTTTTGTAGTCTTTCGGATCTGAGGATTTACATCTGATTGAGAAATCCTTACTTGTCTCTGACATTTCCGATCAAGATATCCAATTTTCATATCACTGAATTTGATTAAGTCTTCAGGCATCAAAACGCTTAAAGAAATATCACAGCTTTTATTGGAAATCTCAAGAGCTCGGTTTTGACAATATTTCTAAAAAGAAAAATTACATTGAATATTGGGGGAGACCTAAAGTCCCTATTACATTCTAAATACATCATCATCAAAATCTATAATATTTTTCCCAACAGACTCCCTCAACCGGCTCCACCTCAAAGTTGACGGGATGGGAGGTTACCTTGAACGGCTCGACGTAGCTGTTCAACGCCAAGGGTACGCCATGAATGCGTACTTCCAAGGCATCAACTACGTCCCCCCACCGTACCACGGCACGTTCCTTGGGCAAGTGTACGGTGATGAAGACGAAGCCGATGACTCCTACGCCTCGTCAAGCTCCCCGGATGAAGACGAGTTCGACGATGCCATCGATGGGGATGAGATGGACGTCGACGACGACGAGGAGGAAACCGAAGACGAAGCCTAGGACTCCCCTAGATTTTCTATCTCTTCTTCTTTAATAATCATGTCTTTTCTTATTGCTTCCGTTGTACTCCGCTATTTCCCTTTATTAAATAAAATCATTTTGTTTATCTTTTTGTTAATGTCAAAAGGGGGAAGAAAAGGGCTATGCACATACTAAGGGGGAACGCCTCTATAAACGAGACTGTTTGATATTAATCCAACTAAATTTTTTTAGCATAAATTAAGGGGGAACTTTTTCACAACCTTTTGAAAAACAAATATCCCTTAGTATGCATATCCCCGTCTTGTTTGCCATTATCAAAAAGGGGGAAATTGTTGGAACACGGGTTTACGCCTACGTCGTACTAAACTGTGTTCGTTTCTTTGACATGTTTTGATAATGCCAAACCGCCGTGACATAACAAGGCTAAAGAGAACAAAAACCAAGGCGAAGGAACATGGCATGATCTTTTGAGAACCAAGAACCCAGAATCAAGAACAAAGAATTAGAATTGTATTGAGTCGGTCTTAATGTGATCAAGACCGGCACAAACTTCCAAAAACTTGGCTCTCTAGGCTTCTCTCACCGAAATATCTTTTGCTACTCAAAAATATTTTCTCTAAAGTTTTCAACTTGGCTAAAAACGGTTGGAGTTCGCCCAGACCAAAAACCAAGCCAACCGGCGTTCGGTTTTTAGAAACCGGCGTTTGGCTCTCGGTTTTCGGCATTGGTTTTTGGCATTCGAACCAACCAAGTGGTTTTCAACTTTTTATGACTGGTTTTTACTTCTGAGCATATTTAAATAGTTCTCCAACAAAAACGCCTCAAAAACCACTTTTCATTTTTGGTCGTTTAGTGAAAACCATGCGAAACGGCACAAACTTGGTTAGCCGTGGTTTTCAACTAAAGGACGTGGTTTTTAAAATGTTTTACTTGATTTCTTAGCAAAATTCAATAAACAAATGTTTTCAATACTTGGTTTTTATTTTGGAGAACTTACGTTTTTGACATCGGCTAACGGCGTGACTAAACCAACCATGGGTCTGGCTAAACCAGCCCAACAGCGATGTTGGTGTAACCAACAGCGCTGTCTGGCTTGAGTAGCTAAAAACATGGGTTGGCGTTAACTCTTCCAACAGCGATGTTGGACATTAGACATCGCTGTTGAGCCAAGGTTGGATTTCCAGAAACTTCTGGAACAGCGATGTAGGCTTCCCTACAGCGCTGTCCAACCTAAGCCAAAAATATAGTGCATTGGCAGAAAGTTTTTGCACAGCGATGTTGACCCAGCAACAGCACTGTCAGGCCAAACTTCCATCTTCAAAGGCAGACCTAAACAGCGATGGAACATCGATGTAGAGACCTGACCGTTGGAAGGAATTTAAGGCTAAAACTTTCCTTGTTTGGAAGTCAACAGCCAAAACAACGATGTAGGGATTTTAGACATCGCTGTTGGCATGACCGTTGCTTCCCATTTTTCAAAACGCTAGCCTAGAACAGCGATGTCCAGGCCTAGGACAGCGCTGTCTGGGTGAATTTCAGCAGATCCAAATTTCATCAAATCCCACAAATTGTGCCAATCACCCCTTAAATACTTTGGTCCGTTGGAGCCTAT